GCAGCCCCGAATCTTCATTCCTCCCTCCTCCCTCCCTGGAAAGACCCACGATATGGAACAGGAAGAGCAGCTGTGCAGGATGTATCTCTGCACCCCTGGTGTACTTGTACCTCAGGCTGAAGCGCAAAGGAGAAACAATGGGAACACCTTTAAACACGGCAGACTCAGGACAGAGTCTTTCACGAGCGGGCAGAAGCGCTCTTATCTTCGAGGGCTGTGTGCCTAGACCCCCGTGGGAACAACAGTGCTGCACAGGACTAGGAAGTCACAGTGTTTCAGCACCTCTACACACTAGGTTATCTGAAAGTTTTAAAACTATAGGAAAGATGATAGGGTGTCTACGTATCCCAGAAGGGAAGGCAGGACTCGGGCTCAGAATCCCTGATGGTCCTCACAAACGCAGGCTGTCTCTGCCATCCAACCTTTATCTTTCCCCCCAGGGAAAGGCCCGGACAGCCAAGCGGGAATCCAGGGTAACAGAGTGTCAGGGGCTTGGCGGGACCCACATACCTGTGAGTAGCAGCCTTCTTTGATGCAAATTCATATTCTTCTGGATACCAGCGTCTACATATAGCAGAAATGGAACTCTCAAAGGAAAAGGTTTCAAATACACTGAATAATCACCTCCTTAACTTATCAATAGTGAAAAAGGGCCCTGGGGGTGACCAACAAGCTGCCGCCTCACCCCGCCCTCTGGCTCCCACCCTCCTCTCCTCAGTCTGCACGTTCTCTCTGAGCAAGCTCACCTTACTCCATCAATGGGCATGAGTCTAATCTGTACCCAACCTTCTCCAGAGCTTCCCTCATGGAGCCAACTGCCCGCTGGACAATCACCTCCTAAAAACCCACCAGACATTCCTAATTCAACGTGTGAAACCACAACCCCCATTCTAAACGCTTCTCCCCACCACCTACCAAACCTGTTCTCCCTCCTAGGTGGCCCCTGCCCCCATCCCAGCCGGCCAAACTAGAGCTCCGCTACCACTTCCTATTTCCTTTACCCTCTTCCATAGCTCGTCTCCACTCCCCCCGCAGCCATTTCCCTCGCTCGTTCTCTCTCCACGAGGAGGTCTTTCTTAGCTTGTTCTCCTTGCTACCTTCTTTCTCAAGGAGCCCTGGGAGCTTAGTGGGCTACACGAGGTCAGCAGTTTGAAAGCGCCAGCCACTCCGTGGGGAAAAGATGAAGCTTTTCACTCTGCTCGGAAGCCCATAGGGGGCAGTTCCAGGGTCACCAAGAGTCAGAATTGACTTGATCAAGGCTGTTGCGTTTTTAATCATCTCATCCATTCCTCACTTAAGTTTTCAAAGGAACTCCATCCCCTAGAACAGCGGTTCTCAACCTATGGGTCATGACCCCTTTGGGGGTCAAGCAACCCTTTCACAGGGGTCACCCAATTCAGAACAGCAGTAAAATGACAGTTACAAGGCGGCAATAAAAATGTTATGGTTGGGGGTCATCACAAGATGAGAACTGCATTAAAGGCACTAGGAAGGTTGAGAACCGCTGCACAAGCCGCCGGGAGACCCAGGCGAACTGCCCTTCACAATTTGGTCTCACTGCCCCCTGCTCTGCACCCCAGCGTTAAGGGAGGGAGTGCTTGTCACTCCGGGGCTTGTTCTGTTCCCATCTCCTTGCTGCCTTGCACCTTTGAGGCCCTGCCCATTCCCTTTTGCTGGAATGTTCTCCCCGCCATTAACAGCCCAGGGAACTCCCACTCATGATTTCAACCTCAAAAGTGAATTCCTATATAAAGCGCTTCCCCACCTGCAGGCAGGCAGGCAGCTAGGTGCTCCCTCCCTTGTACCCTCAAAACACTCCAATAGCCATTGCAGACATCATCATACAGAGCATGGTATTTTTTAAAAACAAATTTGGGGGGGTTAGGGGGGCTGTAATTCTTGACACACTTGTCAACCCATGAGGCTGTAAGCTACTTTTGATCTCCAAGGCCCCAGCACACAGGCTGTCCTGGCACAGAACGGGG